TAGGAATATGGGCACCCAAACTTTGTGTTTAATCATGAGGTGGGCAGTTTCCATAAAACACAAGCAGGGTTCTTGGAGGGAACTGAAAGCAATGGAGGCTGAAGCGGCAGTTAGAAATGTTTACTTTGTTAACCACAGAATCCCTTAACACCTTAATTACGCCTTATCACACACCATATGTGGCCGATGTTTTTAGTCTTCTCCACCTGCCCATGAGGACAAAAATGTTTCTGGTTCATTCTTGATGGCAAACTGTGCCCCACAGTTCCCATTAAGAAATTTTTAAATGGAGGGGTAACAGCCATCCATCTAAACAGTGACCTGAATGCTCCAGAGACCACATGACATCACTTGAAAACGGGGACCTCAAAGATCTCTGGGTCTCTGCACTACAAGCCTAAGACTTGTAAAACTATAAAAAACATATTCCTGTGATGACAAACAGATAAATGTGGGCATATCCAGCACTTAGTTTCCAAGTCCCTCTCTTGCTTGAACCTCAGAAATGTGTTGGTAAGATCTTATGTTTGGGAAAATTTGAAAAAAGTACGTTATTTGCCCTAAATTAAGCCTGCAGCATCTCTCCACCCTAACACCTTCTCTACCACCCCTTCCTACAATGTTGGGTAGCACTGAACTGCTAGGAACACTTTGGGGAACTAGCGAAGGGGAGGTTAAGTTAGACACGCGGTTTGGGCTCAGTGGGTTTTACACAAGAGTGTGCACCATTGCTTCCTTACACAGTTACACTCTCATTCCAGGAATACTCCTGTTGTCCATTCAGCATTATGTACAAAGGCAGAGAGCGGGGCCAGAGATCAGATCGTGTCTATTAGAACGTCCTGCAGTGCCTGGCAGTGTGCACAGTGCTGGAGAAACAAAGTTGGATGTGTATGGAGCCAGGGGCTAGTCATCATATGTGTAAAACTGTAATTGGGAGATTGTTTTCATTGGTGCTGAGTCCCAATGTTCAATAATAAAACACACATTTTGATTGATGATGTGACCAAATCATATTTAAATTGTATGCAAAGAAAATGATAGAAGTTATAAAGAGATGACCAGAGAGTATGCAGCCAAAACAAGGAAAAAGCATCAGAGTAAAGACAAAGATGACGATGTTTTTCTGGGTTTCATGATGTCTAGGATAGTTGTCAAGTTTTCTCATTCTAAACACCCTTATTTTTCATACCTAATTTTGAATTTAAAACTTTTCATTTTGTATTAAAGAGGACTCCCCAAATTATGTTTCCAGCTTCATAAAACCTAAATCTGCCTTTGTTCATACCAGATAAAAATAGGCCACACAGACTGCCAAGTAGGTACAGTCTTGGAACTGTCTGTGGTGCTGGACCCAAGGTTTGCTTGGCGCTCTCCATGGTACTTACTGCCCAAGCCAAAACTCCTGGTGGTGAATAGCTGGGTTGATTAATGGAAGTCAGGCTTAACGTAACGGGAATAGATGCTTTTGTACATGGCAAAAGCCTCTCAAGAGGGTTAAGGAAAACACTACAGATGACTCTCAAGTACTGGGGACAACCAAAAGATAAGGACACCAAGAGCGTCAGCTCAAGGAGAACTCACCCCAAGCCATGCCTGAGTCTACTTCAGGGACAGAGGGGAGGAGGGACCTGGAGTGAGGGAGGAGAAGGACGTAGAATACAATACACTGCAGGTGGGGGCTCTCTGGAAGAAAAAGGAAGAGGGTGAGAGGGGTGGTCCTGAGAGGGCCCTGAGGTTCAGACAAAGGCCCTGCCCATTGCATTGGTGGAAGATTTGCTGACTGAAGCTGATATCTCACTGTGAAGTCCCAATTAGCTCGGAGCCTGTATGAATTGAAATGGATACACATGATGTTTTTGTACAGGTCTGCTGTCTGCTAAGGACTGCTTCTCTGGCCTAGAAAGAGCACATGGAAGAACTCTTGGTAACTGGGTTTCACACAGAATTTATAACCTTGCATTCAGGACAGTGGCGGGGGAATTCCCATGTTCATACCAGAATAACTACTGCAATGGGATATCCACAAGGGCACAATATAACAAGATTGGGAGGCTCAGAGCATCTACATGAGTTCATTTGGGGGCAACTGACAGTCACAAATTATAAGACCTTCATCCCTCCCAAGCCCCCATCACTATTCTGAGGATCCCCCAAATTAGAAAGAGACTAGTTAATGTAGTAAGCACCAGGGCACAGAATCCACTCGGGGGCTGCAGCCATGAGAGAGAACATACCAGAAATGGTGCAGACATGCTCTCATCCCTTGAAACTAGATGAGGTTTCAACATGTGGGAAGACACAGCTCCCCACTTCTGATCAGGAGGCTTTTGTTGTCCAGGCTGGAGATTGTATTCCCGAGTTTGTTGCCAATATAGTAAAATAGGACAAACATATAGCCATTATCACTCTGGTTTTCCACAGGTGTTGGATGAACCCAACCCACCACAAAGGGCTGCCCAAAGATTTGGAGATTATGACACAAATGGTTTGTCAATCAACATCCGTTCTCTCCTTCCAATGTTAAGGTTGCACTGCATTGCCTGCCTTGCAGTGAGATGTAGCCATGTGACTACACATTGGATAATGAGATGTAAGCAGATAGAGGCATCTTAGGAGATGACTGAAGAGTTCTTTAGCCTTCTCCCTTTTACCCCTAAGTCCAGCGACATCCAGAGCTCTGGGGAGGGGGGCCCTGGAGCCTAGGGTGCCCTCAAGACTAGAACTCACCTGCTAAAGATGGAGGAGCAAAAAGATAGATGCTTGAGTCCTCTGAGACACCACAAAGCCACAACGCTGGTTCCGGACTGTCTGCCGCTGGACTTGATATGAGAAGTAAACTGTCGGCTTTAAGCCACTTTTTATTGGAGTTTTTGCTGTTCTGTCTCACTGAACTTGATGCCAATTGATTCAGAGATGGTCTGATACTTACACTGATCGAGACGAATGGACATCTGCAAGCTGATTTCCTCTTGGAACTCTTTGCTTTCTATTCTAAGACACTAGTCTGACAGAAAAAAAGGAAATTAAAGTTCCTGCTGCAAATGTCTATGCTTGTTCTCTGCCTCCTGGAAAGGTAATCATTGCCCAGGCCCAGGGTTCACAGACAAGGGACTATGATGCCCTTCCAGTGTCTTCAGTCAGAACCTGCAGAATAGTGGATCTTAAAATGCTCTCTCGAGACCAGCAGAACAGCCACAGTTTGAGAACCTTTAAGAAATATAAATGGTCCAGCCCTATCTCAGACCTGCTGGATCAGAAATTCTGGGGGTGGGTCCCACAATCTGTTTTAACAGCCCCTCAGGTGACTCTAATACAAGATAATGTCTAAGAAACACTAGGTTCCCAAGAGGAATTACACACAGTACCAGCAAAACGGCATCATCAGGAACAGCCAAGATTCAAGGCACTTTTTGAGGGACTTGGGAGAAATGAGGGCTTAGTCCATCCATGTTGGGGAGAGGACAGAGGAAACGGGATTTAATAAATGCTCACATGGACTAAGGATTTTGATGATCTTCACTGTTGCCAAAGCCTTCAAGTTTAAGGTGAAAGTCAAGCCTTTCAACTCACTATGGGCTCTTACCTTCGCCTTTTGGACGTGACCTCTTTCAAAGAACAAAATATATGGCAGCTCAATTCATTAAGGTCACATCGGTGAAAATGTTTTTCTAAACACTAGGGAAGTCTTCTGCAGGAGCAGCCAGCAGAGCCTGACACACAAGGAGACTAATTTTCAGCCTTTGAGCATAAGTTTGATTTTGGAAGTATATCAAAATAACTGCTAAGTGGGTCATATAACATAGCCTGGTCATCTCCTTTAGAACTAAAGGAAGAGGTGGACCTGGAGACAAAGGAGAGAACACAGCCTCTGAAAGCAGAACCAGTGTCCCAGCTTGGGAACAAATCCCCCGAAACCTGGGGGCCTCTGGTGACTTACGCTGGTTGCAGGGCTCACATGCTATTGGGGCTAAGATCGATCTTTGCATTGACGTGACTTCTTCAGAGTGGCCCACCTGTTCATGGGAGAAAGCTGGCCCTGCATTGGCTGTGGACCTCAGGCCTGTTTTAGTGGGCATTTATTATTCCCAAGACTTTATTGGTAGGCTCACAAGCCTGGAGATTTTCTGAACCTAACTCTCCAGGTAGAATCCAGAAAAGTCCAATTTCCAGTCTTCCTTGTAGTGAGGACACAGCAAGCCAATGGTGTTACGTGAGACTTTGATTCGGAAGTGGGTACCTTGAGGGAAGACGACTGAAAATGGAACCTGATTTGATAGTGAGAACAGCAGCAAACCTCTCTGCTTTCAAAGGTGGCAATAATTGTGAGGTCACGTCCCTGGCATGGAAGAGACGTCACTGGGGTGGCAGCAGCGACAGTGGCAGTGGCTTTGTCATCAGTCATGTGGCACAATATGGCTTCAGATGCCTTTTCTAGTTTCTCCAGCCTTATGAGAATTCTACGACCAGCTCGACATCTTTTTCATAATCTCCTTTTCTGACTTAGCCGGAATTATCTTCGTTGCTAGCAACTGAACATTATGACCAATATGAAAATGGACACTGGGATGGCGGCAGTCAACGGAACCTCGAGGAAATGAGGGCTATTTTGAATTGGTGATCTGGTCTGGCTGAGATTGATGGCTCAGAATATCCAGAAGTATTGGGGGATGGAGCCCTGGAAGCCAAGGGTGTACCTGTAGTTACCTGGGATGAAAAGCTCCCTGCGGTCAGGGCTTTGGGATATCTGGTAGGTATTCCTGAGGTACAGTATGAAGGTCATGATTCCACTCAGTTTCCATGATCCCTGGAGAGCCTTTGAGGCCAAGACTTCTAATTTCCTTTCTGAAGTCCTTCCTAGGCTCCCTCAGGCCCTCTCTCATATTTCTCCTTTGGAATCTTAAAGGCCACTGGGCCTTGTAGACTAGATTACTCTGGGATGATCAAATTTGGGGCAGTAGTGCTCCTCCCTTCCCTCCACTTCTGCCAAGTTACAGCCACCAGGAAAAACGGTAAAACATTTATTGAGTCATCTACAGCAGTGTGACATCCTTAAAATCCTGGACAAGATTGTGAGCACAACATTAATGGCAGCAGCGGTAGCAGTAAGGTCTGTGGGGCTTGTCTTTATTATGGGAGATGGAACCCAGGCTGGTCCAGCTCCCACGAGTGAGCCAGGAACCATGTCTGAGATGCCAGGGGCTGTACCACTCCAGCCCTGACAGAGGCAAAGCTACAGAAGACGGACATCAGACAAGACACAAATGGCCAAGTACAGACACATCTCAAGACTGAGTTCAGAAGGAGGAGGAATGGACACAACACCCAATTGAGAAATGTCCCAGATCCTTGAAGTTGACTCGCAGGGGAGTGGCAAGGAAATACTGCTATCACCCATATGGAAGTATGCTCACTCTAATCCCAACAGAAAACAATCAGCTGATACAGATGAAGCTAGAATTCTGTGTCCATCTGAGCCCTCTGGCCTCCCCCTTATTCCTGATGCTGGTGGTTTTACGAATGGGGCAAAGGTTAACTCAGGGAGGGCTCGAAGGAGTAGATAGACAGCAAGGAGTCCCTTTCAGCCATCTTCATCCCAGTAACAAGCCTCCATTTGTATAGTTTCCAAAATCTTGACATACAAGCCATCTCATCTCAACCTTACCCTTGGCCTGTGGGGCTAACAATGCCAACCATGTCCTCCCCATTATTCAGATTAGAAGGCCGAGGCCCAAAGAAGGTAAGCCCTGGATCACAGGGCAGGTGGCTAAGCCAGGGTTGAAAAGTAGGTCTCCCTATTACCATGCTGATTCCACTGCTTCTGCAGTAGAGTCCTGGACAACATTCTGTCACAAGAGCACCTCTCCTGTGCAAGGTTACATATATACTGCATGGCTGCATTGAGTGTCACATTCTGCTCATGTGCAAGGCTGTGCATATGTGAGCCACTTAGATTTATAAAAAATACTGGATCCCACCGTGGTGGCAGGCACCATGCTGTGTTTTCTCATCAGCCCAATGGGGAGGTTTGACCTACAGATCTCCAAGTTTCCTCCCAGCTTTAGCATTTTGTAAGCCTCAAAGACACACGGGGAATGAGTCAAGGTCACACAAGCCCCTAACAAAGCTTGAAGCCCAAGTCCCTGCTCCTTGGTCAGGGCTCTTCTAGCTGACTTCCATGGTCCCTGCGCTCAAGGAAGACTTTGATAACAAAGTATTAATGCTTGCTGGCTTCACTTTGGAGTAGTCATGAAGGAGGCAAGAGTATCACTCAAAAAGAGACCCTTTGAGCTTTCCCTTCCACAAACAGGGTCAGATGAGAGAAGTGAGTGGGCATCCTTGAGTGGGACTGTAGATACAGGTGTGTCTCAAGCCTCGGGCTTGGCTCTAGTTTCCGGGCCCTGCTCGGCAAATGAACCCACCTTGGAGGGGGCTGAGTTAGAGAGGAGTCACTGTAAGCCACTGGATGTGTCAAGCAGGGTGACAGAGCAACACACTGGTACAGAGAATGTGGCTTGTCATTAAGTCTGCAGTGCTAGGAGCCACCACAGGGCCACTGAACCACCGCCACCCACATTCCACACTTGAACCCCTTCTCTGGCTCCCTGACAGCCTCAGCATCCTTGACTTGGAATCTCATTTCCTCCAGGATAAGAGTCTTGCCCTGACACTCTCTGCCTAGTCCCTTGCTGGACAGTCGTGACAGGGAAAGAGATTTCTTCATCCCAAGAATGATTGGCATTATATATAATCCCAATTCGGCCCCTGTGGGTGAGTTTGGTCCTTCAGGATTGCACAAAATGAGAACCCGCTTCCCAGAAATAATCCTCAGCAGGGATGGAGTCTCACAAGGCTGCTCCTTCCCAGCCCCACTTTTCCCAAAATCTCTCAAGCTGTCTTGACATGACAGGATTTCTTAGCCTTTCCTGGCCCAGGCAAATACCACAGTTCAGGGGCCCATTTCAAGTAGATGGCTGGTGTTTAGACAGTTCCAGAGATGCTTTGGGCTATATACAAATCATCTAGTCTCATTGCCCATTTTACAGATTTGAAAACACAGGGTCAGAGAGGGAAGAGTTTTACACAGACCTTATGCTGTCCTCCTACCGCCAGTGTTCCTGAAGGCCAGAACCTCCTGGAACATTGAGAATATATCAGTCCTGCTCACAGGACTGGCAAAAATTCAGACAGGAAAACCAACCAGCCAATAGGAACCAGCAAGCTCTAGGAGGACACAGGGCCGGGGCTCAGGAAGCAGCACAGTGCATGGGGTTCAGGGCCGATTTTGTTTTTGCTGTTTTGCGATGATGTCTCTATAATGCCAAAGTTTCTTCCACAATGAAACAGACCTGCTGCTGGGAGTGATGACGAATGAATGGGGTCGATCCCCAGGGGCTGCTCATTGGATCTGGATGAGGCACCGTATCCCAGCCACGTATATATGACTGTCTGTACGTCAGGCCCAAGGCACCTGCTCAAATGTCCGTGACCTAGTTCTTCCAGTCCTCCAGGTTCCACTGTGGTGTTCAAATGGAAGGGACAGAAGGTCCATCTCTAAGAAAGGAAAATAAATGGCATTCTGTCCATTCCTCTACACACACACACACACACACACACACACACACACTCTCTCTCTCTCTCTCTCTCTCTCTCTCTCTCTCTCTCATGTGAGACACAATGATGCATGCCCTTTTACCTGCCTTGGCTTTGAACTGGAAAATCACTTAAGTACAGGGCAGGGAGCAACGTATCCACAGTCATGGCAGTCTGAACCCAACTGGAATAGAGTAGTACCCTGAACACCAGTCATGGCTCCTTCCAGGCAGCCCAGCCACCTTAGCAGTGTCCAAAGTGCAAGATGGCCACAGAAGCCTTGCTTCAGTAATACACACTAGTGCAGGCGGAGGGGACCAGGAGGTCAGGTGCAGGGTAGAAGGGCAACTGCATACTCCATGATCAGCCTGAGTCACCAAGCATGCCCGGGAAAGGTCAGGTGCCTCCTTTCTTCCTCTGGCTTTGCCAAAGACCCAGGGACTTACTTGACTGGCCAAAGACACGGGCTTCTCTCTAAATGACAGCAACAAGAGCCTTTTCCAGCCACTCTGAAAGCCACTCCAGAAACATTTTCCCAAGTCCCCCAGGCCCCTTCCTCTTTATAAAATGAAATAACAATCCTCTTCCACACAAAGTCCCCAAGCATTCCAGAACATCTTCATGAGACAAGCTGCAAACAGAACTTGGACAGGAGTAACACCAAACGCTGACGTGGAAAACTAGGCCACGCAGGGACCATGTACTCCAGCACTTCCCTCTACCTCCCCAGCTGGGCACTGCCCTATTTCACATTCTCAGGCTGAGGGTTTGCAGCCTGCAGCTGGGGGCCCAGGGACAGGTGGTGGGAAGCAAATACCCCATGAGAATGGGCATGGTGGGTGCGGCTTCTCCTGACACCCTAGCAGCCCATGGTGAGTCAAGGTCAAGGGCATATAAGGGACATCTTGGCAGAGGTCTCAGATTTCAATAGTTGAGTCCAGGCCCGAGGATCTGGTGTCTGGGACACCTTATCCATGGGGGTGGGAGTGGGGGTGGGAGAGCCCTGGGCCCCAGACTCAGGCGCATGGAGGCGAAAGGTGATTCAGGATTCACTGACATCACAGGCAGGCGGCTGGTTCATCCTAGTCATGGCTTTGACTTGGGGGAAATGGGGAGGGGAGGCCTTAGGGACTCTCTGGTGGGCGTGGTTGGAAACAGCTTCTGGAAGGCATCCATGTGGGTAGGAGAGGTGGACGGGAGGTGACCAGAAGAACGCTGCCCATCTTGAGCTGGGGTTAAATCAATGGAGATGGCAAAGGGTTTTCTTCCATGGGTCTCCCAAGCTGTGTGTCTCCCAATCACAGCCACATTTCTGGCTCTCGGCTCCTCTTGGATCAAATGAAAAGCACCAGAACTTTTCCTGACCTATGGACTTCCCACCCAAACTGAAGTCTCTGATGAGAAGAGGCTTGGAGCTGTCCCACTGCCCTGGGACCCAGGAGCTGAACACCCAGACACCAAGATGCTGGGCGAGTGCCAGGAGATCTGCACCAAGGGCCGTTCTGGCCACACGAGCTGGCCCTCTGCTGGGCTTCGGGGACTTGGGCCCAGGACTGAGAGGAGCCCCACAGTGGCATGCACACTCCCGAGGGGTCACATCCAAAATCAGATGATGAGGGGGGCTGTTGGGACAGGTACCACGCCAGCTCCCACAGGCAAGCTCTCTTCAGCCTTAGCTCACGAGGCCTCACAGCTGAGGTCAGGCCATCACTGAGGCTGACCGAGACACAGATGGGTGGAACTGAGACCTGGCTGGAGGTGAGGAGGGACACGAGGAGAAAGGTATGGGACAACTTTTCCAAATTCGAGGAGTATTTACATGTCTGGGGTCAGGGCCCAGGGGACCACAGTGGGTGGGGCCCGTACCAAAATGAGGGAACAATCCTAGTCTGCCCTGCCTCCTTCTCCCCCTTGGGGAGCCAAGCTTCCAGCCCAGGGCCTGCCCAAGGGGAGGGAGGAGGCATGAACATGCGTGGGCTGGCGCCTGCCTGCAGTCCCAGCCTGTGGATGGAGGAGAGGAGGGAGGGGAGGGCAGCTCAGGTGGCCAGGTTGTCAGCGGGGAGACCAGACATGCGGATTTGGGAGCTGCTCTTGCTCAGGATGGAGAGCTGGGTGCCCCCGTTCACCCCACTGCTGGCCAGAGACGGATGTCGGTGCTTGAAGTCCACAGCGAAGTAACGGTTCACCTTCCAGCTTCGCCATTTTCGCTTGATCTCCGCTTGTACCTGCAGGGAGCAAACTGGGCGGTCACTTCCAGGTAGACATCCTCTCCAGCCTGCAGGCCCTTCCCAGGCTGACGCTGCCACCCCCAGCACCCTTCCCACTACCCAGTTGCAGCCTGCGGCCCTCAAGGTCTCCAGTGGGGACGTTCAGCGGCTATGGGCAGGCTCTGAGGAGCTGATCTGAACAGCTCTTCCCTTGCCACTTTCTGAGCAAGACTCTATAACGGCTTCCTGTTGTTTGCAGGCCAGGCAGAGACTAGTTCATCAGGTCTTTCAGGAAATCTTTAGCAAGCAGGGCAGGCGGATCAGGGAAGGATCGCCGCTCTTGGCTGAGCTGTAAGGGTGGGCTATACATTAGAATCACCTGTGAGGGGGCTTTAAAAATTCCAGATGCCCAGGCCATACCCCAGAACAATTACATCAAAATCTCTGCACAGAACCCAGACATGGTACTTTTTAAAAGTTTCCCAAGTGACTCCACTGGATAATCAGGGTTGGGAGTGGCTAAATAATGCACCCCTCTGGGTAAACACCCAGGTAGCTCTTAGCATGGTGAGTGGGGGCCGTGCCGAGTCTCGGCCTCCATGTAATTTCTCAGCCAAGTACCTTTGTGCAGTGCACAGACTGCACAACTGGAGGCAGAGCCTGCATCCACCCTCTCCGGTTCTAGCTCCTGCTTCCACTGCAGGCTCTGAACAAGCTATACTTCTGAGCTCTCCCGGCCACTCCCTGCAGGGCCCTTTCTGTCTCTCCTTGTCTGTCTTAATCGGACCCGTCGGTAGGTTGTTTGGGTGATCAGAGCCCAGTGTCTTTGTTCCTCAGATGCAAAAAGTGAGAGGAGCCTGGCAAGGTGACGCAGCTAAGACCCAAGCTCTGGTGCAAAGGCTCCTGCCTACTCTCAAGCCCACTCCAGCCATTCAGTCCCCACCCCTGCCCCAGCACCTCTGTTCTGGGTTGTGCTCAAGGGCTTCACTCCAACAGGCTACAGAGGGAGCCCTCAGACCACAGCGCTGGAAATGGAGTACTACTAGAAAGTTCCAGGTCTCTCCCTGGGGTCTCTTCCTAACCTTCAGTTTCCACTCTACCATGGGAGTTTGGGCCTGGCTAGTCAGCCAGCTGGGGGCAGCCCTGAGTGCTGGACAGCTCCTGGCTCAGCAGCTCTGCCTAGCACAGCCTCAGGACCTGTAGGTCCTGTGTCCTGTGCCCCGCCCTTCCTTATTGTCAATTCCTCCTCATCACTGAGCGTGTTAAGGGAGAGGACCCTCTCCAGGAGATTTGTGCTCAGCAGAGCCGATGCTTTTACCAGGAGCTTTGCTCTTCAGGTGGGGCCTTAGCTGCACAGCAGGCAAAGTGGGACAGATTCCAGCACAGGGTGTGGGTGTCGGGAGACCCTGGCAATACATAATGCCGGTAGCTGTGTGAGCAGCCCCTCCTGTCAGTGCTGGGAGCCTGGCACAGCCCCCTCTGAGGAGTTAGTCCCATGGGGCCAACAGGTGGATTCCCCATCTGCTCCCCAGAAAGCCCCATCCCCACCCCCACTGCAAAGAAGCCAGAAGGCCAAAGTCTTACCTCGCCATTCAGAAAACAGTAGAGAACAGCCACCACAAAGCCCTGGGAATTGAGAAAATGAGCCTGAGGATGCTGGCAAAGGAGCTTCTGAAATGCTGTTTGGGGCATGGAGGGGGTGACACCAGGAAGCAGGAAGACACCATGACCTGGATGGGGGCACCTGCCCAGGGGTCTGGGGGTAAGATGAGACACTTCTACTCTACCAAGATGGGCACACCCATGAGGCCACGTGGCTGGCGGCCGAGTCCTGTCCCACAGATACATTCTAGCTTTGGATTTCACATTCCCTTGATCAAATTCTTCCCATACCCAAGGGCCAGCTTTACCCCACTTGATACAAGAAGCCTTTCCTGAATGCCCTAGAATTTCTCTTAGCTCCAAACCAGCCTGCAGACTTCTGAGGGTAGGACCCCTCCAGAACAAAACAGATCTATGCCATCCTTGTCTCCCATCTCCTCAATCTGCCCTCCCTGGGCCAGATACTCTCATACACAGCCACGCAGAACACCACACAGTGAGCAAGTACTCCACACAGAGTAGGCACTTAGCTATCCTCTATGTGTTCTTTAAATCTACACCAAGCAAAGCGGGAGCATTTTCTTGAATATTGCAAATTAGTTCCCTGCAATCCCTATGCTCTGTACTGTCGCTTGAAGGTATTGGAAGAATGACGCTCAAGGACCCCAGAACTGGTCTGAGCACAGGGACAGGAGCCTTGGGCTCTGACTCCTGGGCCAGGGTTGTGTCTGAGCCCAGGAGGCCAGTCTCAGGTGAGACCCATGCTCAGTCTCACCAGACTAAGAACCTGGGCCAGGTTAAATGGCCTTGAATTAAAACAGTGGAGAAGGTCAAATCGGATATGGAGAGTAACTTTCTGGCCATGAAGATCAAATCCTAATTCAAACAGCTGGCTTAGGGAGATGTGCTTTATCTCTGGACACTCCAGGGAGTTGCCCCTGCCTTCATCCGCCCACTGCTGCTCCCGCCTGCTCATTCCTCACCATAATTCACCTAGCCCCTTACTCATTTCCAGTCTATTCACTCCTTCAGGCACAGAAGCAGCATTCTGCCCGCTTCTCATTCCCTCACTCATGTCTGCTCATGCACTTGGGCAGCTGGCTGGGCTCTCTGCTGGGGACCTAGATGTGGGTAGGATAGAACTCCAGGGGTGCATGGCCGAGAAAGCTGAAATCAGGATGTGGACACGCTGGGCTCTTGAGGCCACTCCACCCTGCACCCCAGGCTGCTGGGAGGTACAATCTCAGGTCACCCAGGGTGGGAGCTGAGAGCGGGGGCAGCTGGCTCAGGATACTCGGATGCAGCAAAGGCGAGACACCAGTATCGTCTTACAGGAGCCCCAAGGGTGGACAGCAGACAGGGCTCCCTTATCACCTTTACTCTAGTACTCATTTCACAGTCCAAGTTAAAGAGGCTCCAGCATCACCTACAGGTGAGCAACCTGGCCCTGGCTCCCAGTGAGTTCTGCCCTCCCCACAGGCCACACCTACCTGGAAGGAGCCCAGCCCCAGCTCAAACACGAGTCTTTCCCTTTTGCTGACATTCTCTGGGGAGAAGGCGAATACCGTGTAGTGGATTCCAAATAGTGGGATGAGCAGCAGGGTGGACCGGGCCAGCCGCCTGTCGGGAGAAAGCAAAACATCTGTTCTGGGAACTTCCAAGGCTCAGGGCCAGAGCCATGGAGGGCAGAGAACTCGGCCCCAGTCCTTTATTTTCTCCCCCAGCTGGGTCCCCTGTCCACAGACCCCTCAGCATTCTCTTCCAGTGCAAGCGGCCTGGGCTGCTAGGACTCTCTGGGATATTGGGGGTGGGGGACACCCCCAGTCTGCAGGGTACACAGTCAGTAGCCTATAGAACCACTGAAAATGTACACATGATATACAAGGACCCCTTGTGTGACCTGTAAAACCCTTGGGAAAAGCAAGATTGGGACAAAACACAGGGATCAGACTGAGAAGGCTTGAGGGAAATACGGGGTGCTCGGGCAGAGCAGCCACTCTCCTGTTCTGGAAGGAAGCCCCCTGTGCCTGAAAGGAGTAGCCCTGGATGGGCCACAGAGACAGTTGGCTTTTCAGAGTCTGGGGCTAGCCCAGACACTCACCAAGTGTTGGGGACGTGCTGATGACAGGGAGGCAAGGAAGGCACAGTGAGTGGACCACAGAGGAAGAAACTCGGGAGGAATCCTAAGAGGAACTTACTGACCCTGGGCATCAGCAATCTCCATCTGGGCAGGAGGAGCCTGTTGCCGGGAAACGGAGTCAAAGGTGGAGGAGAATGTCTGCTCTGAAGCAGACCAGGCAGGGAAGGAATGGTTAGAGAGTGTCTCCTGAGGCAGCTCTCCTGGGGCTCCGCTGCCTGCCTGCCTGCCTGCCTCTAGCCCTAGGCTGACAGCAGGCTGGGTCTCTGTTCTGAAGGCACAGAGTCACAGAGGCCCACAGCTAGGACACGGGGACCATGTGAACTTGGGAGCAGCCCCGTAGATCAGGTCCCACAAGGGTTCTCCCAGAGTGGGCACACTGGCTCCTGTGGGTCTCCCCAGAGAGGTCAGCCCTGCCCTGCAGATGTGGCCTGCCCCCAGGCTGCACCCTGCCAGCTCCTCCAGAGGATCAGCCTCCCCAGCTTCCATCAGAGCTAAGTCCCAGGGTATGGACAGCAGGCATGAGGCAGCCATTTGATTTGGGGCAATTACACCACATGTCCCTCTCTCCCTCATCCAGCCTTTCTGGAAGAGAATGTTCTGTTGAACATAGGAGCATTGGAGGTCTAGAGAAGCCAAACTCTTGGAGTCTGCGCGAGGCCTTTGACTTCCTAGGTTACACTGCGAGAGGAGAAGGAAGGAAGCAGGAAATAGGAGAGGGACAGCCCGAGGAGATCTTGAGGCAGAGGAAGCTCAGCCTGGAAAGGAAGAGGATCGTCACTGTGGGTGCCCATGCCCTCCCGCCCTGCTTGCAGACGAGGGCCAACAGGATCTGAGCAGGTCTGTGCTGAGCCCAGATGTGATCCTAACCGGTCCATCCTTCTAGCCTTCCTCTTATCTGTCTGTCTCGGATGGCAGCTCCCTGGGGATGGTACCTCATTTATCTGGGGCAGGGAGCCGATGCTGGGAAAATGCCTGTTCCATGAAGAAATCCATATAACACAGGCCTAGCATGACAGCCTCAGCATCCTCAAAACTGAATTCTCTTGGGCACTCGGGTCTTGTTCATCTCTGGTTGCCCCTGCCTGGTACCAGAAGGCAACAGGGAGTGTTTGTAGAAGGAATCAGTCAGGAGTGCATAGGGAAGTTGCCAGAGGACATGGATGTCCTGGGGACTCCTCTGTGGCCCTAACCATAGGGGCTACTTTTAAAAAGCTGTCTAGTGAAGGAGCCCAGGAAAGAAAGCTGGCCTCAGAACATGGCTGTGGCCCCTGCCTTCCTCTTCCTGGCTTCCGTTCCCACAGGAGGGACCACTTGCAAGTACTTGTCCCTGCAGTCTGAAAAGAGCCCTGGAAATGTGGTGGCATCACAGGGGATGGATTCAGAGTATGAGAAACCGTGACCTTTCAGGCCTTTCCCAGCAACAAGGTGGGTGCAGGGATGGTAGCGAGGGCATCCCACAGCACAGTCCGAGGCCAACACTCTTCCTCCCCAGCAGCCCCGCAGCAGCCCCAGAACAGTCGGGGACTTCTGAGGAGCCAGAACATTCCGGTGACTCCTTTGGCAGATGAGGCAGTAGGGACAGACAAAGGGTCTCTAGAGCCCGGGGTTCTGGGACTGTGCTTCTAAGGTGACCGAGGTCTTGGAATGGGAACATGTGATGTGAGCCACTATCCATAATGACAAAGGGCCCACGCCTCTGTCTTCCTGCCCTGAGGAGCCAGCAATGGGCAGAAGAGTATTAAAATATGAAGAAGGGCATCAGAGATGCCCAAATTACAGTGGGCTGCCCGGGAGGACAACGGCACCCTTAATAAAAGGGACATCCAAATTGAGTCTGCTATTCCAGTCATGGACCCCTTGGGGCAAAGTACTTAGGATTCTCTGGTTCAAATCCTCCCTCTGTTAATTAGTGGGGCCTTGAGTGAGCGACGTCATCTCTCGGCACTTCAGTTAACTCATCTGTAAAATGGTGTTGATACAAGGACCCCGCTCATAGAGTCGTGGGGATTGAGTGAGTTAATGCTGTCTCGCACACAAAATGCCGTGAACACTGGAGTGACGTTCCCTTCCCTGTGCAGGGGAAGGTCTATATGAACTCAGGCTCTAAGACTCTTGGAAATAATTTTGCAGTTGAAATCACTGAGGCTCAGAGAAGTTGGGGACTGAGGACGACCACACACCAGGTAGCAGTGGCAGAGAATGCGGGGCTGCTGCCTCAGGAAGCACCCACAACTGCCGCAGCTCCAAACCCACGCCCCACCGACCCACCCCATGACCACGAGGCTGAAGAGAACTCACAAGACACACAGACACCAACATGCAACAGCTGGGAATGGGTTGGGGCTGGGAGGCACAGGCCGGCTCTCCACTCTGCTCCGGCAGCGGCAGCGGCAGTGGCAGCATGCGTCCCCCACCCGTCAGGACTCCCGGCCATAGCCGGGGCCACGCACACTTACAGAGTAATGGTGGACAGTTCTGACATCTTGCAAGAGTGCTGCTGAGCCCGCTGTGGCTTGCAGTAGCATTTCTGCACGCAGCTGCTGGGTGCGACAAGATTAGCACTTCTGTCAGCTGGGGGGCACCAGGCAGCGAAGACGCTCAGTTTACAGGGAAGGCAGAAAAGAGGAGGGTATGGAAACAGGGCCAGGGCAGTCATGTGGAGGAGAATGAGGGAGCCGAGGGCCAAGACATGGGCAGCTCTGGACAGAGAAATGCACACCTATATGTGGACATAAGTGTGCATGGCTGCACACGCACATACAAGCACTCACACTGGGGCCAGTGATAGGTGGGTGGCTTAGAGGAAACGTGTATTCACAAGGTGGCCTGGGCTGGGTCTCACACAGGGAGCCAGAGGCTGCCTCCAGAGTTGCCTACAAGCTTAGAGTACAGCCTCGTCCAGGTCCCACTCAAGATGAGAACTGGGAACACACTGCGGACCTTCTGCGCTGCCCAGCACAGGCAGCCTGAGCCTTGAATCAGGCCAGTTCTGGGCTTGGCTGTGAAGATCAACTTGGGTGTCCACTGGTCTTTCCCCTCTACCCTCTCCTCCTCCTCTGGTGGCATAGCTTCCTCCCTCAGCCCCCCAGCAACTCAGAATCAGCACATCCATAGGGGGCAGAGGTAAGTCAGATTGAATGGATTGTTCACTCTTCCCAACCTAAACTATTCCAATACAACAGCCACTACCCGCATGTGGCTATCTGAAGTTAAATTGACCAAATTAACTCACATCCACAGTTGTCTGGCCACACTCTAAGTGCTAAACAGCCACATGGGGCTAGTGGTTATCATACTGGACAGCACAGACATAGGGCACTTCCATCACTGCAGGGGGTTCTATGGGGGAGTGCTGGGCTGGACTTCTTGATAAAAGTTCAACAGGCGGGGACTGAAGACTGACAGCACTGCCCCATGGTCTGCAGAAAAAAAAAGAAAAAAACACCTCAAGGAGGGGGGCCCAGGCTGCAGTCCTGCTCTACATTCTCCTGGGTGGACCCGGGCCTTCTCAGGGAGGTCTCTCCAGCCCACTGTGGTCCTGTTGGGGCTTAGGCTGACACAAGCCATGGTCACTTTTCCCTTCTCTAACAGATGTGTCGGGTAGCTGAAGAGTTGTGTCATCTTGTCCGATTGCAAGAGAATAGCTACTTTGCTGACCTTCCCCAGGTAACACATGGCTCTGAGGTTCCCGGTGCTGGCAAGTGAATTAATCAGATTGGACATGATGCAAATGAGGACAGATACAGAGACCACACCCTTGCCTTGTGTGATTCCAGCTCCTTAAGAGTAAGCCTGAAGGTACCTGACAAGTGGTGACGTGTCATTTTGCCGAGGGCAGAATTTGTGTCACTTCCAAGATGGGGCAAGCCCAGGCCCCTCCTGCATCTGTACATACTGGGTTTGGGGTTCTCATTCAATAAACAGCAGCTTGCAATTCATATCCCACTGTGGGGTGGGCACTACAGATCCCCTTTTCCAGAACAGAAATGCTGAGGTTTGGTTTGATGCTTTGCTACTCTGGCTGTGGTCCCCAGACTAGCAACACCAACACCACCTGAGAGCTTCTTAGAAATGCAGAATCCCAGGTGCCACCTCAGACCTGTGGTCAGAATCTGCATTTTAACAAGATCCTTGGGGGATCCACATGCATGCCAAATCTTGAGAAGTGCTGTTAGGTGGTATTCATCTGAGAAGGTTCTTCATGATTCCTCAATGAACGTCAAAGGTCTGTTTTCGTATACATACAAAGAGACTCAAGTAAGTATGTTTTTCTCAATCATTAAAAGAGCTTAACCGGGTATACAGAAATGGCAGCTATTCTATTCTTCAAATTTATTGTCTACCTTGCCCAAGCTGAAAAGTTGGGTAGTCTCAGGGTGGGCATAGGGGCTCACGCCTGTAATTCTAGCACTCTGGGAGGCCGGGGTGGGCAGATTGCCTGAGTTAAGGAGTTTGAGACCACCCCGGGCAATGCGGTGGGACTCCATCTCTACTGAAATACAAAAAATCAGCCAGGCATGGTGGCAGGCTCCTGTAGACCCAGCTACTTGGGAAGCTAAGGCAAGAGAATTGCTTGAACCCATGGGGCAGACGTTGCAGGGAGCCAAGATTGTACCACTGCACTTCAGCCTGGGCGACAGAGCAAGACTGTCTCAAAACAACAAACTTGGTTAGGTTAGTCTCTCCTATGGCCAGGGACACCTCAATCTTGGCTTGGGTAAACCACAGAAATCAGGGTCCAAGAGACCCCCAACTTCAGCCGTTGCCTCCTACACGTCAAGCTTAAACTCTCCAAATTCTAAAGTTCTGCTCTGCAGCCCTACTTTCTGTAGCTTCAAATTGTTTCTGTCCCTCTTGGACCCCCAGATGTTTCTATGGTAACCAGACTTCTCGAAAAGTATTCTAAAGACCATTTAGCGACAAGTTCACTGGGAAACCCTATACCTGGTGAAGTTGTGTGACTCTGATGGGGTGGGGGAGGGCAGGTCAAGGAGCAGCTTTGGGGAGGACTAGCCCTGGAGGGCTCTTGAAGATGAGTCTAAGGAAAAGGCTTTCCCCAAACCTTCAGTGGCTCTGCACAAAAAGACTCATGGAGAAGAAAGAGGACAAGTTGTGCAGAAAAGCCAAAGACGGGAGGAGAAGGAAAGATTTCAGAATCTCTGAAAAGTCAGGACAATTAAGGAACAGAGAAAATAAGTCAGGAAGACGAGATGAACCTAGACTGGCTGAGGCGATAAATTCTGAGCTGGATTCAAGAGAGGGTAACAACTCAGGCAAGGGTGTTGGGTGGGGCTGTCCGGACAGCAGAGCAGCCTGACTTGGAAGACCCTGTACCCCATCACAGGTACAGGGTCTACCTCCATGTCTGCAACTCGGGGAGCCTTGGCCTCCCGGACTGGCTCCACATGGCTTCACTGTGTGGTCCACAGGAAGGTCATGGCCATTTCCATGTCTCAGCCCTCACATCTGTCAGCCAGGGTTCCAGCACATGGTGTCTATGAGGGCCAAACTCCAGAAATGCTTCCGTAGCCCTCGTATGCAGGGCTAGTTGGTTATAGCCCTGGGAAACACCCAGAGGAATGCTAGACAGATTGCAGGAAGCATCCCTGTTGTCTTGATGCTTGCAATCCTAGGGATCAGCATGGTCTGGCCACGTGGTGGTCCACAGAATGTGGTGGACTGAGCTGAACACACTCCATAGGATCTCTCTTGATGCTAAAATGCTGTGCACCCCCAGAGCCCTGCCCAGTGCCAGAGGTACTCCCTACCACACTGGCACCCCAGCTAGCAGCACAGCTCACAGATTTGGAGAATTTCCTGCCCACCACCACCCCCTTAACCACGAGGACAAGCCACCCCTCCATGCTCCCAGCCAGCCTGGAGTGGTCCCAGTTGGGAAGTCTGGGCACCTGAGCTCAAGGTTTTGCTTGGCAACTGACTGCTGGGTCATCTTAGGTGGTTCCATTTTCCTTCTCTGGGCCTCAGTTTCTCTCTCTCTGCAACATGAGGGTAATGAGTGGCTGCTGCCAGCCCCTGACGTAAACTTTGAGAATCGAGTGCTCCTCAGCAGGGAAGGAGGTGTGTGGAAGTGGAAGATGGAGCCTATGTGCACTGGAAGGCTCTGGCTGTGGAGAAAGCCTAGACTGAAAGCCACCTGCCTGTACTTCTGCCTGGCCCGAGCACAGCTGCCTTCAGAGATGTGGGCATCCTCCCCAGTGGGGCCAAGGAGACCCCACAGGAGTACAGATGGGTTTTCCCTCCTCCACCCAAGCTGCAGCTTCCAATGCCTATCTTCCAGGGAGGAGGCCCCTGGAGTAAAGCCAGCTCACTTCAAGGCAGGGGGCCAAGGCCCTCCCGGAACAGTCAATGTCTACCCTGGAAGCCTCACCTCTCCCCTTTCTGAGCCAGTTACCTGCTCACAGAGGTCAACTCCAGTTAGGCCAGACCTGCCTGAGGCTGAGTGCCAACCCCAGCTAAGGGCTAAGCCCTCACCCCTGCCCCAGACCAAGTCAACCCTGAGCACATGCTGAGCCCTGGCCCAACCCTGATGCCCACTGCCCAAGTCCTGTCCCCAGCCACTCATTCTACCTGGAGCATCAGGTCAGGGAGGATGGGTGGCTCAGTGCCATCATCCCCCTGCAGAGGCCCCAGATCCCAACAGGTGTTTCTGAGGCTGGGCCAGGAACACCGTCTTGATCTATGGAGGACAAACCCTTTTCACCTGAACAGCTGGAACCAACCTACAGGAAAGGGAGTGAATGCTGGTCTGAGGGCACAGGCAGGGGGTCCTCTCGGGCTTTCTTGGGGACTCGCGGGTTTAAATTTGTTCTGGAAACAAGAGGAAAAAACCGGAGAGCTGTTGTGGGCAGATGAAGGGGCTTCTTGGTCCCACACATAACTTTGGTACCCAAGGGGACTCTGGCCTAGAACTTGGAATCTCCTTCTACCACCAATCCCTGCCCTCTCCACCTCCCCTCCAGCTGGCATTCTTCCCTCCTCCCAGAGCAGACACCTCCCAGCTCAAAGCCAGCTCTTCCAAGCACTCTGGGCTGAGGGGGCTTTCACACAGGCTAGAACCAGGGACCTCTTCTTCCAAGAAGCCTAAATGTGTACACTTGTTTAATGCTCTTTCCATCTGTAAATTCCTTGAGGACAGGGATGATGGTGGTGTCCAGCTTGAAGTGAAAGGCCTGCCTACGCCATAGCCATGGCTTCCTCCTACCTCCTGGCTTCATGGCACTTCACTGATAGCTAGTTCCCTCAGGTGCAAAATGGTGATGGTATTTAACAGTGGCTTACCTATTCCACCAGAGTCACTGGGTGTTTGCAAGTGTTAAATGTGCGTGGATGTGGTCATGAGCATTTCCAGGTGCTCTACAGTTCTCAGCAGCGTGGTCAATTGGATTACTACTCACATTGGCTGACAGGGTCTCCTTGACCCTGGAAGCACTCAAACATACTGCTGGACTTAATGGGATCAAGCTGATCCCCTCTCCTGTGTGGGAACTTCCACTTGGCTCACAGACTTCATCCACATGAGATTTTAATCATGGGTGCTCAAGACTAGCAGAGGTTTGGCTTTCTCTAAAAAAAGGATTTGCTGAGATTGCCAAAAGGTATTTTTTTTTAATTGCCAGAAGGAAACCAACTAGCTGGTTCTTTTATGTCTCAGATTAATACAGTACTTACATGTATAAACCATGTGCTAATTACAAGTTGTTCTTAGCTATGCGTTAGGAAGACCTAACAAGATTCAGGCTCCTGATCTGTGGAGAACCTGAAACCTCAGCTCATACTCCTTTCTCACCAGACCCTAGGAGTTCTTGTTGCCCAAAGGCAAAATGTCTGAGCTGGCAAAGTGTGTTCAGGCTTCGGTAGGGTATCCTATTTAGTAGGGAGAGCTGAGAGGACCCCCCAGAGAAGACATTGGGGGTCCTCAATAGAACAAATCCTACCAGGAAGGGGAGGAAATCAAGACCACTAGAGCTCAAATGAAAGATGAGGTTGACTTAGCTCCCTGTCAGATTCAAATATGGGAGACAACTGTTAGTGTGTGCCCCAATCCACACCCACGCAGGAGAAACTAAGGCCAGACAGAAGGGCAGTGTCCAACACTAGACAGGAGGGAGAGGGGAGCAGCAGAGCCCTATTTTGTAAATCCTTGAGATGAAGGCAGGAGTGATTTCTCTAGGGCAGGTTATATAGAAGCAGAGGGCTGGCCCCCCACCTCACAGTGCAGGGCCTCTAAGACTTGATGACTTATACTGACAAATAATTTTCTACTATATAATACATCTATATAAGCAAGAATTGAGACAGGGCTGAGAGAAGTGGGAAACTTGCAAAACATGAAGAAAACCACCAGTAAATGAACAGCAAAAAAAAAAAAAAAAAAAAAAAAAACTTACTGTCTAATGTAATGTGGTCATTGTACAAGCAGAGAAAACTCGGCTGAATATCCGAGGCCCTGTGCTAGTCCTCCACCCCCGAGGAAGGGCTTCCACATGGGGAGGTACCCAGGCTGAACAGATGGACAGACCAAGAGCAAGCTCCTCCCTGAGGGAGCCCCAAAGATCCTTAGGGAAGAATCTGGGATGTAGCCTCTGAGCGGTTCCTGCCTCTCCCTCTAGGAGAATGTCTGAGGAAGGGGTCCTGGGGAAGCCTGTACTGGGATCTCTCACTGTCCCACTTGTCATCTACTGGGCGGCCATCAAGGTTGTGACCCCAGGTTGGGGTCTCTGAAGGCAGGACCATGCACCCAATGATGCACCCAGTGAAGATACCTCAGCTCCTCCTCACCCACTTTCTTCTGAAGGAGCAGAGGAAGCCACACACATAGGGCTTTTGCCTTACCAACAGAAGGGCCCCAGGGACTGCCCTCAGAACCAGTGTGCCCATCCACCCCTCCAGCAAACCACAGGGGGCCGCCAACCTTCCTCCCCGGCATCAGAATGTCTCCATACCCCACACAACCAGCTGGTCATGTTCCCATTCACAAGGCCAGAGGTGGGAGGTAGAAGTTGCTCTGATTTCAGATATGAGACAGGATGGAGAAAGAAGTGGGGAAAGGCAGGCAAAGATAGGCTGTTAGGGACATGACTCCAGAAATACTTCTTGAAAATCAAATGGCCATGGAAGTGGAGAAAGCCCTATACTCTATGGTAAGAGGCTGCCCTCTAACCCAATAATCCCCAACCAATCAGATGTTCCTTGGGAAGGAAGGAGCTGAAGGAACAGAACCACATGCAGAGGCAGAGCTGCCCCTTGGGCCAGTGGAGGAAAGAAAGTACCCCACTTCCAACACCCAGATCAGTGAGAATGTGTCCACCCGACTCGCTAGTGGAAACTAGGCAACTTCCACAGTCTGGGCTGGGGGTGAGACTATCAGGCAACAGTGTATTCAATGGTATTCATGAGCTTCCCTCAGAAATAGGAACCCCAAAGGAAACTCAACTTCTAACCAACCAAGATTCCTAACTCTCCTAAGAAATCTGGTGTTTTCCATCTTGACTTTCCTAGTCAGGCTCTGTCAGGCTCTGTCCATCTCTCTCTCTCTCTCTCTCTCTCTCTCTCTCTCTCTCTCTCTCTCTCTGTCTGTCTGTCTGTCTCCCTGCTGACTTTCTCTTTCTCTCTCATTCTGTCTCTCTGCCCATCCATACAGCTGAGGAGCTCCTGGGTTGGCTGAAGGCTTCAAGGGCAACTATATTAAAGGCTACTTAAGAAAAAGATCTGGAAAAGCCAATGCTAGGCCACCTTATCAGCAAAGCCGCCTTCTGCCTGTGACCTGAATGCAAGGCCCGTGTGGCTGTCAGAAATAGCTGTGGCATCCACACAATGGTACTTACAAGTAGATGCTGGACTCATTGCCTCCCATGTCTGGAGACTGAAGTTTCTGCACAAGGATAACGATGATGCCAATAAAAAGCACAAAGTTAACCTGAGGAGCAAAAAAAAAAGACATGATTTTGGGCAAAGACTTTCTATACCTCTGCCTCAGCATAGGCTATTCTCCCACCTAGTCACGATCCCATCTACACTTCTTGTCCAAGACGGGGGCATAATAACTCACATTTATCTCCCCAGCCTCCCATAGTATCATTGAAATGATGAAGAGATAGAAGAAAAAGAGCTTCATAGGAATACAGGAAATAAGAAAGGACATCACAAGTATTCCGGAAAAGTAAGCTATTTTTAAAAGAGAAAATAAGATCAGGGTGATGGGAAAACTACAGCCCAAAAGAGATAAAGTAAGGCTGTTGCAGAAATGAGAGTTGTTCTCTAGAGAAATTCCAAGATCAGAGTCATCGAAGATGGGGAACCAGAATGGACAGCCATAAGCAAGGCTAATTAAAGGACTGCCTGGGAGTGGAAATCGCAGCATTGCCTTCAGATAGACTGGGGACAAAAGCTTCCTACAGAAAGTAGGAAGCTATGTGAACAGTGATCAAAAGAGGAGGAAGAGGAGCAAAGAAATAGAAACGAGGCACCATGTCAGGACACAATTCAATATCGTTGAGGCATAGCCAAAGCAGCCCTTGGAGGAAAAAAAAAAAAGCCAAAAACTGATTCAAAAACAATAAACACTGAAAAACACTTAAGCATTCAAATCAAAAGCTAGGGAAAGATTACCACAAAAGTAACTTACAGAAGATATTTTAAATGATAAAAAATTAGAAATAAAAAGTAGAACTGATCAACAAAAATAAAGTTTTAGTTGTGCTTTTCTTGTTTTACAGATGAATTGATTGGCAAAACATGTTCCATGAGGGCAGGATTCTGTCAGTCTTGTTCTCTGCTACATGTTCAGCTTGATCAGTGACTGAACTTAACAAAAATAAGCAAAGGGGAAAGGACTCCCTATCCAGTAAATGATGCTGGCATCGGGGGTTCATCATATACAGAAGAGTGAAACTGGACCCCTTACTTAGACCATATTCAAAATTTAAAGATGAATTAAAGATTTAAATGTAAGCCCTCAAACTATAAAAAGTCCTAGAAGAAAACCTAGAAACCACCACCATTCTGGACATAGGCCTTGGGAAAGAATTCAGGCTATCTCCTCAAAAGCAATTGCAACAAAACCAAAAACTGACAAGTGGAACCTAATGAAACTTCAGAGCAAAAGAAACTGTCAACAGAGTAAACGGACAACCCACAGAATGCAAACGTCTTCTCCCAAACTATTCATCCAACAAAGGTCTAATAGCATCTATAAGGAACTCAATTCAACAAGCAAAAAATAATCCCGTTAAAAAGCAGGCAAAAGATATAAACAGATACTTCTCAAACAAATGCAAGCAGCTAACAAACATAAGAAAAAATGCTCCACATCATTAATCATCAGAGAAATGAAAATCAAAACCACAATGAGATACCATCTCACACCAGTCAGAATGGCTATCCCTAAAAAGTGAAAAGACAACAGATGCTGGGGAGGCGGCAGAGAAAACGGAACAGTTAAACACTGTTGGTGAGAATGTAAATTAATTCTGCCACCATGAAAAGCAGTTTGAAGATTTCTCAAAGAACTTAAAACGGAACCACCATTAGACCCAGCAATCCCATTACCCGAGTATATGCCCAAAGGAAAATACATCATTCTACAAAACAGACACATGCATTTGGATGTTCATCACAGCACTATTCACAATAGCAAAGACATGGAATCCAGCCAGGTGCCCATCAACAGTGGATTGAATAAAGAAAATGTCGCATGTATACACCATGGAATACTGCACAGTCATAAAAAGAATGTAGCCACATCCTTTGCAGCAACATGGCTGCAGCTGGAGGCCATTATCTTAAGTGAATTAACACAGAAACAGAAAACCAAATACTCCATGTTCTTAGAAGTGAGAACTAAACTTTGGGTACTCATGGACATAAAGATGGCAACAATGGATACTGGGAATGACTAGACAGGCAGGAAACATGGGGGCAAGGGTTGAAAAACTACTTGGTACTATGCTTACTACCTGGGTGATGGGATCAATTGTACCCAAAAACCTCAGCATCATGTGATATACCCAAGTAGCAAACCTGCACATGTATTCTCTGGATCTAAAATAAAAGTTGGAAATACTTTAAAACGAAGGAAAAAAAGCAATGTCTGGTACTTAGTAAATACTGCCAACTGTATGTGTTAGTCAGTCAAAAAGGAGAAAATGTAATTAGACAAATTTAGGAAGGAGAAAGAAGGCAAGACAATAGATATACACAGTATTTTAAATGATGAGAGAAAACTGAACAAAATGGGAAAATAAAAATTAACAAAATTAAGATAGAGAAAATCTCTGAGCAATAACCTCAGAAGAAATTAAAAAGTTTAAGATGTATGTATTAAAAGGTACCAGGTTCAGATAATTTTATAGACCAGTTCCAGAATAACATTAAGAAAGATGTCATTTACATACTGCTTAACTGTTTCAAGGCAAATTAAAAAAGCAAACATTCTGGATTACCTATGAGGCTAACAAAATTTTGCTACAAAAACAAAATGAGAGAAAATACAGATAACACACAACCCATGTACCTAAGACCACAGAACTTTATGAAGAACAATGCCAAAAACTTAAAATATTAACAATATTTAGCAGCATAGTAAAAGAATAGGCAGATCATGTTAATAAAGTTTTTATCTCAGAAATGGACCTCCAAAAATCTAATATTTGTTACAATAACAGATGAAAACAAGTATAATTCAGTAACAAACATCAACAAAGACATGGGAAATTGGCACTCTTGTAGCTTACTCATAAAGAGCAATCTGATCTGCATGAACATGTTAAATGGACATATCCTTTGTCCCAGAAATTCCGCTCTTGAGATTTATTCTAAAGACATATTCAAGTATGTTCAAGATAAGCATAAATGTATTCATCGTAGCACTATCTATAATGAAGGAAAACTGAAATACTACAAATATCCATCACTAAATAAATGATTACTTGAATGAATTTCTCCAAAACACATTTGATACCATTCACCACCCATTCTTGATTATCCAAGAAACAAGCCAAGAAGAAAAATGTTCCCAATTCGATGAAGGGTAACCTCCAAAACTAGAGCAAACACCATCCCTACGAAAAACAAGGGCTAGAAGATGTAAACACTGGAATGAAAAAGCAAAAACTATTTTCATTTGAAGATGATATAATTTTCTACCTAGAAATTTCATGAAAACCAACTGAAAAGGAAAAAAAAGTTCAGAAACATAATTAAGACAAGACATAATACATAAAAATCAATAGCTTTCCCTTAGAGCAGCAATAGCCCATTAGAAAATACAATGAAAGAATGATTCCTAGACCCACTTAAAGCCCAAACTGGAAAACCCCTCAGAGGTAAACATAACAAGAACAAGGAAGAAAACTAAAAAACTTAACCAAAATGACTCTGTAAAAAAAGACTGAATACATGGAGAATCATGCCACATTCTTGGGGAGGATGACTCAATCTTTTAAGAAAATAAATTCTCCTCCAAATTAGTCTGTGAACGCAATGCAATTCCTACACAAATCTTCACTAGACTTTCTGGTGCAACCTGACAAGGATATTCAAAAGTACACCAGAAAGAGGAAACGTGCAAGGAAAATTTGAAGAAAACAAAAGAATAACAAAGGAGAAATCGGCATACCAGAGCATGCTACAGGGTTACAGTAACTAGCATAATGGTGCATCTGCCGTGGGAATGGACAAATAGATTAGTAACATGGAACGTCCGGAACCAAAGACCAGTATATTGAGGGTTTATAATAAAATGACATTTCAACATATAATGGAGAAAGGATTCAATAAAAAGGATTGAGAGGGTAGAATGTCCATCCACTGAAAAAATTAGATAAAATTGAATATCATTTCAGACCAGACAAAACAATAAAATTTCAGCTGGATTAAAGATGCACATGTAATAGTCCACAAAAAGTGGACAAGAATAATCTTTTTATATCTTGGTTGGAAAAGGCCTCCATCAACCAGAAATACGGCTTGGAATTCATTAAGAGAAATCTTGACCATTTGTCTCTACAAATGCTATGCAGAAATGGAAAGATACTTACATATACAACAAAGGAAGTGTTAACTATCCTTTCAACTGTAAGAAAATATGGAAAACTGAACAAGATAAATAGGAATATTGACAAGAAAAACAAATTGTCAATGTTTGGAAAGAAATGCTCAGTCACGCCAGCAAGACGGAGAAATGTACATCGAAATGATGAGCCAGCATTATCCTCCATAAGCCTGGGCAAAAATTAAATGATTGATATTATAAGTATAGATAATGAAATGGGGAAATGAGCCACTCTTCCTGAGGAGGCATAGTTAAAGGGTTTTTGCAAAGCAATTTGGGATCTGAAACTTTAAACGTCTACCCCTTTTGACCCAGCAATTCCACTTCTAAGGATTTATTCTAAAGAAATATTTCCACGTGCTCAAAATTAGGCACAAAACTATTTCTATTTTTTGTAAGGAGGAAAATGGAACAACATAAATCTCTACTGCTAAGAAAATAGCTAAATAGTTTGTGTATCCCTGTTACAGACTATGACAGAAGGAAGCCAAGTTGTGTGGGGACTCTCTCATTTCTCTTCCTCTCGTGCCTTGCTCCCCAGGACCCTGTCTCTTCCCTTCCTCTTGATCCCAAAGATACTCACCATGATAGAGCCAACCACAGGGCCTTTGATCACCCACCACAGAGCTGTGCTGTCATTCATATCCCAGCAGCTGAAAGATGGACAAAGAGAAACGAGATCGCATCCGTGAGTTGGCAGTATGGATGCCTGAAGGACACTGCCCCACCTAGCTGGGAGCCCAACACGTTGGGCCCTGCAGTTCTCTGAGGAGGGGCCGGCTGGAAGAAGAGCTCTCCAGAGGGCTGCAGACTCCAGCCTGGTCCTGGCTCTGAAAATCCCCTCCTTCTGAGCCTCTATCTTTCCCTCCAGTCACCTATCAAGGCAGGGCATGAAGTCCAAAAGTCAGGATCACCAGTGAGCTCCTGGGAAAGGACCGTTGTTCCCCCGTGAGACCTAGAGCTCATAAGGTGTGACCTCCCACTTAACATTTTTCCTCTCCTCCCTAAAAGGAAAGCAGACACTCGGAGCTGAATGCAGAAGTTAAAAAGGGCTCCGAAACCTAGCACATTATCTCTTGCTGGGTTTCTGGCTGAGATGCAGCTGGATGAGTCACCTGCATGGAGCCAGGGCTCAGGTGGTACCCAGTGCTGGGCTCTAGTCCGGGCCTGGCATTGAATGGTTTCTTGGGGGCAGTTCATGTGAAGTCAGGGCAGCCACTGAGAATCCATCTGTAAGAATCTACTCTGCTGTGGCCCTCATTCTCGAACATGTACTAACCCTGTGTCATCAAAGTAGAGTCTCAGTGTAGCCCACACCGTCACGCACACAGTCGGGGTCCCTGAGAGAACAAGAAAAAGAGGTCCATGACAACAGAAAAACCAACATGTCCAATGTCCACCTCAGACTGGGGGCTCTCGCTCCCCCATGAGACTTGGAATTCCTGGGAATTCTAACTGCCCCTCACACCCAGGCCTCCTGAGAGTTGATGTCTTCTTGGACCAAGGGCTATCTTGTTTTTCAGAGGACTCCTGTGCATAACTCCTCCCTCAGACAGTGGGCTTTCCACAGGCAAGAAGAACGAGAAAGAGTCCAAGAAAGAGGCCAGGCCATTAGCCTAGGGGGGCAGGGCAGCCCTCCTCACCTGACACTTCCTGACGGCCGAACCAAGGACACACCTGGCCATGAGGCCTGAGCCTGTCCAAGCCATAGCCAGGAACCTACCCCAGCCAATAATGGTGTACCAGTAGAAGTATCTCCTTTCAGGGAAGAAGGTCTCCACCAGCAGGGTGAAGAGGTACAGGCCCTCGATGAACAGCCAGAAGTAGTTGGACACAACACAGTAGTGGAAGAAAACCATGACAGCCTTACATTCCACCTGCAGGGAGAAGCGTCAGGGCGAGGGGCGTGAGACCAACGGGAACGGGAGCAGGGAAGAATCCTAGAGCCCACTGGCTCTGGCATGCTCAGGCTCAAACAGCCCAAGGGTCTAAGAACGTCAACATTCCTGGATCGAAGAGTTGAAACTGCAGCATCCCAGGGTTCTGAGTCAAAGCTGCCCATGGAGGCAAAACTGCACACACAGGACGAAGACGGGTGGCAGACACGGGCCTCCCCACTGCCTAGGGCACTCCGCTTCACTTTTCTGCTCCTTCCCTATTTCCCTCAGCGGAGGGGAGGAGGGAGAGAAGCAGCCAGAGGACCCTGCAGGAGGCTCCTTAGGATAATGAGGATTTGGACACCTTTCAAGCAGGGAGATCTATATTCCTGGCCTCCAGAAATCTCTACTCATGGAGACCCCCAAACTATGTCCTGGTTAAGGCCTGGACTTTACGCTGTTCTTCCTAACCTACCCCCTCAAAGCCCAGCTTCTCCTCATGCCACCTCCTCTAGAGGTATGAGACCTGGGAAGGTGTCTGGAAAGACCCCTGGCCAATCAGCACCTGGGCTCCATCCCAGGCTAGTTAAATGACCAGGGGCTGGGTAAGCCCTCTCTCAGCCTAAGTTTCCACCTCAGTCAGGTGGGACTTGGTGTTTCCACCTGGCCTTCCTCCACTGCCTTGCCAAATACAACACTCAGGCCAAGGGACAAGGAAGCATTTTGGCTGGAAGTGATGATGCTACATTGGCTCATTGGCTACTAATAACTTGATTCCGGAGTCTTCACATAAACCAAGGGTGATGGGGCAATGCCTTCACCTACAGGAACACACTTGACCTGCAGGGTGTCAGGCAGGTGCACCCTGGAGAACCAGGGGGATGGTGCGGGGCCTTCCTGGCAGAGCCCCCCGACCTGCTCAGCTCACTCACGGTAGAGACGAAGCAGTGGTTGCTGTCCTGCTCTGCATACAGAATCCAGTCTTTGATGAAGACGGAGATCGCCCTCAGCATGAACGACACAAACAGGTTCATGTGGATGAAGTTGCGTGTGCAATGCAGCTTCCTACGGGAGTGGGCCGGGGAGAAAGAGGCCTTGGACCCCACAGCATCTCACGCCCTCCATTGGGCATCCGCGGTGGGCCGACTCTGGCTTTATCTCAGCAGGTCTCCCACCCAGGCCACCCTCCTTCCTGCCACCTCTCTAGATCCTCACTGACTCCCAGGCCCCTATGATCCAGCTCCACTACCCCACATGGCCAGACTTCTCCCTCTTGTGGCCTCTGTCTATCTAGACCAGGAACACAAAAGCAAGGAATGCAGATCTCTTGCCCCGGCTCTGCCTGGCTGTGTAGCCCTGGACATGTCAGTTACTCTCTCTGAGGTGAAGTTTCCCATCTGTTACCCTGGGGGTGCGGGAAATGCCTTCCAAGGGGCCTCTTAGGGCTGACATCAAGTGGGTAGGGGAGAGCTGGACCAAGGCCTCTGAGGCCCTGGCCAGCTCTGGTGTGTGCTTGAATGCTGCTGGGGGGTCTCACCGGAAGCGACACAGGATGACCATGGCAGTGGTGAGAGTGACGAGGGACGTGCTGTAGCCGACTGTGTAGAGGGCCTTTACCGACAGGTAGTAATAATCCTGGACAGGGCACAGGACATATAGGGCTTCATGTGAGGCCTGCACCCAGTCTCCCAGGCCAGGGCCTGCCAACCTCCAGGCCTAGCTCCGCCTTCCTCTCTTCTGCTGATGTCATCTCCACCACCTCTCACCCCAACCCCAGCCAAGCCTCTTACTCCCTTTTGCACAGTGTCAGCATTCTGCAGATGCTCAATAGATGCTGCTGAAGGCAAGAGCACTGTCCAATCGGAACAGACAGCAGCCTTGGCCTGCACAAAGGTCCAGGAAGCCCCCTGCTGGGCCTGGCATTAACCCAGCATCCTGGAAGAGTAGCCAGGATGGGAAGCACAGGCAGCATCACAGCTGCTTCTCAGCCCCAGCAGGCGCTGAGGAATGCTGCCTACTGACCTGAGTTTCCTCAGCCCTGCCCTCACCGCCTTTGGGGAGCAGGGTGCAGACACTCACTTGGTCCCCAGTCTCAGATTCATATTCATCAAACCCGCAGGCATCAAAGTAATGAGGGAAGGGTTCCGACCAGCCATCCTCCGTGCAGTTCCGGCTCACCACTCCCATGTCTGCAGTAAAAAGAAAACTCAGCAAGGCCCTGAAATTCGTATGCAAAAATGATGTGTTCAATGGGAATTCCTGGAAACCCCTATGACCAACTGGGAAGCACAGGGAAAGGAGGTTTTAGAAATCGGCGATTGCTAATCGGAGGGCTGGAGAGACAAGGAGCAAGCTCATTTCAACCAAAGATGGGGAGACTGCTCCAGCTGAATCCAGCAACCCTGCATCCCTTCCCACTGGAACATTTCCAAATGCTCATCAGGGATGGGCCTGAGTCCTCCCCTGGGCTCTGGGTCAGCACTTCTCAAATGTCAGCGTGCAGAACCACCTGGGAGACTGATCACAAATGCAGATTCCAGACCTGTCCCCAAAGATTCTGTCAGGGAATCTGGGCGCTTTCAGGAATCCCCTCTGGTGACTTTGGGCATAGGTGATATCCTTGGCACACCTTGGGAACACATCTTGATGTGATGCTTTGCCTCAGAGCTCTAAGCCTCACAGCAGCTGTGACATCCCACAAGGGCACATGGCTTACTTCATTACAAGGTCCAGACCTCCACTAATCTAGGGCCGGATCTTATGAAGATAAATATTTGGGGTTTCTTTTAAAGTTTTGCCTTTCAGCATTTGGGGGACTGTCTTCTGTCACTAATGTACTTAAAGTTTCTTTTGATTTTAAGGCCATTCCGTGGGACACTCGAGGGGCTGGGTTCAGTCATGGCCATCAAATGAGGCATTTGCTGGCTTTGCAGTAGAGTCCAGGCTGGTGTTTGCCCTGCCTGGGGCTGTGTTAGCCTTTCATGATTGCTTTTTCATTTTCCCCTCACCTGATGGTTTATAACGGTGAGCGATTCATCTCGAGGGTGGGATGGGGATAAGCAAGCAGCCCCCTTTTCCTCCAGCCCGGCACCTGAGTGTGGCCCCAGCCTGACACTGGGAGTGTACTTGGTCTATCAGGACCACATACAGTTGATTCTTCTCCTCACAGCATTCAAAGACCAGGACATTACACAAAACGAGACACCTGCAGAAAAGGGATTCCAGTACCCATAGTGCTGGACAGGTCACCTCCAGGGAACTCATGAAGGAGGCAAAGAGGGCAATAGGTCAGCCTTTGCAGGAGGCAGAGGCCAGGAGAGGAGATCCTTCCACTTTTCCAGTGTGCATCTCTCACTTGTTGCATTAGATCTAAGGCCAGTTCCCTTTAGCCAAGAAAGTCAGAAATGAACTTTCTGGGATGTGGGTGACTCTGCCAGAAAGGAGGAGAGTTCTGCCCACTACAGGGAGCCTGGGCTCCAGCCCTTCTCCAGCTCTGAGTTCTATGGCACAGGCTAAGGAGGAAGCTGGCAGGCCCAAGGGGAGCAAAGGAGCTCACTTCTGTCCCACAGCTGATGCCAAACTGTCCCTTCTTCCAGCAAATCTGTTTCAGGCAGCCTCCTTTTAAGTCCCTCTGAACACTTCTTTCAGAAAGTCTGAATGTCCCAGGGAAATCACCGCCATGGCCCAGCTCCTTCCCCTCCCTGGGCCTCATTTCCTCTCCGCTTTGCTCACATCAGGGTGGTGGGAAGAGGAAAGGGAAGCTGCTTTGAAACACGGTATTTTTTGAGAAAAGCGTTCTACAGGGAAAAGCCGTTTCCTTTCTTTTATTCCCTTCTTTTTTTTCCTTTTTAGAACACAGTGTGGGCTCAAGTATAAACCCTTTTGTTCAGAACTGTTCCATGAATTTGCCACTGCATTGTTCTAACAGAAATCTCCGGAAGATGGAGTGCTCTTGAGATTGTCAAAACCCCGCGGTGATTGTGCCTACTTCACTAGGCTGATCTGCCCCAGAGACTGCACAGGAACGTAGAACTTTCAGGCAGCCTTTCCGAAAGGGCTGCCCTACCCAATCAGTCCATCAGCATCACCTGGGACGCTGGCGAGACGAGCACATGCTCAGGCCCCAGTCCAGGTGGAATAAATTAGAGACTGCCAGGAACTTGCATTTTAAGAGCGCACGAGGTAACTGACACACAGTTAAAGCTTGAGAGCCAGTGTTCTACGTGTTGGAGTTCAGAAACAGTCAAGGTTCATGTAATTCAGGAGTTCTTTACTTGAAGTCCACAAGGGGACCCTAAGACATCTGTGGCTCCCCTGAAATTCTATGCGTAGTTTTCTGTGAGTTTTTCTGGGAAGATAATCTGTACCTTTATCAGAGGAAAAAAGTCACCGGCCAAAGATCACCCAGCCACAGAGGGGCAGAGTGCAGCCTGGGATGGGGCTCTCAAAGCTGACACATCAGCAAATGCCCTCCCTCCAGCCAGTCCATGGTTGGCCCCAGCCTATCCCCTTACCTGAGAGATCTAAGGAGTTACTGTCACCAAAATCAGACTCTCCTGCAAAATACAGACATGGGCAGGTATCAAAATGCCTGGCTTACAGTTAGCTACGGTTTGCTCTCCACCCTGGAAGGCTCAGGCTACCCCTGGTCTACAGGAAGGAGGGGATGGGGTCCTGGCCAAGAGGTAACATCACACAGCAGCCGCACACCTTCCTCACATGTGCCGCCTTCTAACACCAGTCTCACTTGCTTTGCATTTCTGTGATGTTCAGCACGGTCCGGGACTCAGTTCTCCACCACAGGAAATGGCAATGGGCATTGCCAGGAGGACGGGAGGGCCTCCGAAATGGGAGAAAATGAAAAGGGATGGTTGGGCCTTTTCAAGAAAAGGGCAAAACACAGCAATGTGGGCGCAGGGCTTGGGGTTTCCTTTTTGGTGTTCAGCCCTCCACCTCAGCCTCCAAAACTGCTATTCATCAAAGGGAATTCAGGAGACTTCATCTTCAGACAATTTTTCTTCTTTCTCTTCCAATTTCCACCCTTTTCTCATGCCAAACCACTGCTGGCAATGAGACCGTTTCCACCCCCACCCCCACTTTTCAAAGCTCCTTTCCCAAGGTCCAGCTGACATGCCACCTCTTCCTGGAAGCCTCTCCTGACTTCACTATTCTGCCTGCATGTCGCATCATTCGCTCTTCTGTTCTCTTGCTCACTGTACATCCTGGCTTCTTAGGTGTCAGGGATATCACCATCTGCATGGACTGAGGCACATGTTCGGGTCTGTACGTATCACATGCACGCACCTACACTTACATGTGAGCTGGTTTCTTAGCCCCTCCATTGGCGAGTCCCATCCTCCCAAACAAGCCTGTGAGGGCCCCGAGGGCCCGCCTGTGTCTTGCAACTTCCTGTACCCTCCACCTCCAGAATGGCCAAGGTGGGGAAGAGGGGGAGGGAGGAAGGAGGAAAGAACCTGGTCCCCAATGAGCCTCTTACTCCACCCCCACCCCCGCCCCAATCCCGGCAGCCAGAGCCTGGGATCTCCTGAGGCTGGGCTCCTGCTGCTGGATGGACAAAGAGACAGTGGTCTGTCCTCACCAAGGTTCCTCTTACCAATGGTTTCGGTCTCCCAAACTGAAACAGAGAGAGAGAGAGAGAGAGAAGGGTCAGAAGTAAGCAGTGGGGCTGAAGTCAAGGGGTGTTCTCATCAGGTCCTGCTGATCACTTCCTCCTCCTCCCCACACCCAAACATTAAAAAGGGGCTCTGGGGAACCCAGAAGGTATGAGGACTATAAGCTGGGAATATTGGAGACCTCCAGAAAGGAAATGGGCAGAGGCATGTGAGAGGAGGAAGGAGGTGAGTGCTCCCACCTCCCCAGTCTCTCCAATATCCTACACAGCCACAGTCATCACAACAGGCTACCTGGGAACTGAGAAGAAACAGGAATTCCGTTCTCTGCCTGCCAAGTATTCAAGGCTAGTCTCGCCAATGAAGCTTTGTGAAGAGAGGTGCTAAAAGGCCCTGCCATAATGAACCGTTAAGAATCAGGTGTGAATAACACCTTCATCGTGCCACTTCCAGAGGAAGGGGGGAGTGTGGAGGAAAGTGTATCTTAAGAAAATCTTATTTTACTGTTGATTCATCTTGCCTTTTGATGTTGAGAAGAAGTCTGGCATGGAATCTGACCCAGAGTAGATGTTCAATAAACTTTAAAGAAATGATGGCATGAAAGAAATACATGAACAGAGGAAGTGATTAAGCTCTTCTACAGGAATGAATCGGAAATTGGGCTGAATCACTTAGTGGCTGCCACCACGCCTGACAGCCCTCCAGTCCTACTGTATCTCTCACTCCAGTGCCTGTATCCTCTTTCAAAATTCACTGCAGCCTGCTGGGGTTGCACCCAGTCCCCAAGCCCTCGGATGGGAGAGTTCCATGCCCCCCTCCTCCTGGGCGGATAGGTGGTCTGGAGGTAGAGGTATGCTGCAGGGTGCAGTGCATCTTAGACAAACCTTGGGGTGGGGGCCGGGCACCCCAGCACGCACCACTGTTTTCTCTGCCACCTCCTGTAAGCTCCTCCCCCTCTAGGGCAGAGCCAGTTATTGGAATTTGAGGTTTGAGAGCAAATTTGCCTTCTTCCTCTAGGAGAGGTCAGGGAACTGCAGCAGGCAGGACTCCGTGCCAGAGTGGAGCCTGGAAACTCGCCCCTTCTAGAAGGACATCAGCCTGAGTCTTAGGCTGGAAAAGGAGAACGCTAAGGCCAGGTCCATGGCCACACACAACTTGGACCCCTCTGATCCCCTCAGGAGCCTCCGCCCATGGCTTGATGGCCAGGAGGTGGTTCAGTAAGTCACCTGCCTGAAGTCAGCCCCGCCAGTTCCGTCAGTTCTCCCTGCCCAGCCCCAGCTCAGGGCCTTCAGCTGGCCGTCCTGCCTCCTGTGACACAGAGAAGAGGCAGAAGGCCTGTGGGAAAGTTCCCAGGTCCCAGCCGAAAGACAGGAATCCTCCTGGAAGAGCCCGTGGGACCCATATGCAGGGGAGCCATCTACAGCCATCCCTTCCCCTCAGATGCCCCCTGCAATGGAGATAGGGCTACTGGGGCTCCTGCCTGTGGGTGCAGCATCTTCTCTCCCTTGCCCCCACCCTACCTGCCACTTGGGCACAGAGCTTCGTCACTCTGCCCAACTCACAGCCTCCTCTATGATTTTGGAGCCACTGGATATCTCCATAGCACTTTAGGGGGCCCCCAAGACCTCAAACACAGACATGCCCCAAACTCGGGTCTGCAGGACACTGCACCCTCCCAGCCTTCCCTCAGGGAGGTGCTGTCGCACACCCATGCCTCCAAGCCCATGTCCACGAGTTACCGACAGCACTGTGGCACTGTTTCCCATGTGTGACACCCCCTCCCCAGGCAGCCTGAGGCCAGACTCCTCCCCATCTGAGCCTGAGTAACTGCGTGAGGGCATTGAGGGCCCAGAAAATGCTCTGTTGAGCAAACGTGAGTGGGCACCTGCCCCACCGGGCCCTGTGCCAGCGTCTAAGTGGCTCTGAATGTGGATGTGGGTGTCTTGTGTCCAGCTGCCTTCCCCACGTGTCTCATTCTGCCTGAGGGGGATGTCTACATGCGCGTCTCTCTCCATGCCTCCCGCTGGGCCACTGAGGATCGATCTGTCACCGTGGGAGGATGGTGACAATAATCCCAGCTAACATTTACTACTGCAAATGCAAAACGTACCAAGTCCTGTGCTAAGTGGCATCTATGGCATCGCTTCACGTTACCCTCCCAAAGGCATCCTGGGAGGAGACCACCCGGGCCACATTGCCCAGCTGACAGACGGGGGCTAGAGGATGAGTGACAGCTGGGATGGATCCCACGCCTGAGGACACAGCCTTGCTCTTACACACAATGGTGGTCCCCACATGTATGCATGTGTCCCTGTGTATGCATGTCTGGTTTCATCCCCCATGCTGCACGTGAACTCGGGAGCAGGGACTCTCTGCCCACAGGGTGGCCTCCCTGCCCACAGGGTGGCCTCCCTGTCCTTGGTGCTTGCCTGGTGCTGAGTTTGGGGAGCAGGCTAGACCAGTGTGACCTAAAGAGCCTCTGGGTTAAACCCACCTTGGTCTGGGTTGAAGATTCGGAAGAGTTCAGGGCAGCTGACCAGGACCATCTCACCCACGTGGGCAGGCTTCCAACACGTGATGTTATCCCACATCCCGGGACAGCCTGTGGAGAAGACAGCCATGGTGAGAGGGGCCAGACACACAGACATCACACCACACGCAGCACACGTCCCACGCGCGGCACGCACACCACACACTGTACACGTATGCACACACCACACACACCACACATGTACCATACCCACACACACCACACATGTGTACACACACACACACACACACTGAGGTCTGCTCCACAGCTCACAAGCCAGGCCCTTGCAGGTGACCAGGAGCAATTTAAGGGAGGGAAGGCAAGGCCTACAGTCTGCGGGAGGGCTCAGCCCTGTACCAGGAACATCCCTCAAAGAGGAATGGAGATGCGAGGCACTGAAGAGCTCCTGGGTAGGGAAGGAGGGAGTCCTTACCTGTTTTTATACCATCCCACAGCCCCACAACCTCGAAAGATTGTGGGGAGGGGAGACACACCAGGCCAGGCTGGATCCCTAGGAATGAGATGCAGGGGTCTCTGCAGCAGCCTCTACCACATCCCTCGCCCAAGCCCCTCCTCAGCCACCCCTGAGGGGGTCCCACTTCAGATCCACTCCTCAGCAAGGCCCCCTATCTGCCCTATCAGGAAGGGCAAGAACAGGCTGGTCTAAGACTGCTGCTCCACTACTTCCACCTATCCCCAGGCAAGCCCAGCAGGGGACACAAAGTCATCAGCTGGAGAAGAGGGAAAAGCCAGCCAGGCAGAAGCTTGCATGCACCAAGCCAGAATTGTGAAAGGACCCAGAACCAGAAAAGGTGGAGGCAGGGACCGCCGCAGAGGTCTCTGCGGCATCTCCAGGCTGACAGAGAGGAAGGGATAAGCCTATTGAGAGGTGCTTAGGAATCCCCAAGATTGGTGCCTCATTGGACATGGGCAGTGAGGAAGAAGAAACTGTCAAGCTTGATGACCAGATTTTCGGGTCTGGGGGCCCAGCGGCTCCCCTGACCCCTCTCCTCCTATGTCTGCCTGTCTTTCCAGTCCTACTAGCCTCTATAGAGTTCCCTGCACTGCCTGATGCCAACCTCTTCCTGCTCCATCTCTACTTCTCCGGCTCTGTCCTCCACAATGCTGGAACACATCTCACCAAGGTCACCCGTGACCTCTTTGCCGCCAAATCCAAGGAACAATTTTAGCCCTGACTGGGTCCAACCCTGCAGCACCAACTGAACGCAGGTGTGCTGGTAGCTGCCCTGCCTTTGGCTGCTCACCCTGCTAACCTCAGAACTCACCCTGCTCGTGAGTATAATAGAATTGCATGTGGACAACTCCCAGTCCTCTGTCCTGTCCACCCCACGAGGGTAGAGCCCACAGCTGGTTGCCTGCTGGATATACCCCCACCTTGAAGGACCAAAGATGGTTCCAACACAGCAGTCCAAGACTTCAATGCAGCATCTCCTGCCCAAACCTGATTGCCTGTTCCAGCCCCAGCTGGAAACCTGGGAGTCACCCCGCTTCACCTCCTTCCCGTTGGTGCTCCTGGCCAAGCCCTTCCTGGTTTTCCCTTGAAACCTTATGCAATCCATGCCTCACTCTCTATCCCTTCACCCTACTCAGTGAAGGGACTAGGACCCCTCACTAAGACCACAGGTACACAAACCCTGTCCAGCTATGACCACAAGCTTTTCAAAATGAGTATCTGGCCATGTCACACACCCTCACCAACTATCCCATGCTTTCCCGGCTCTTAGTACCCTTAATCCCTAATATGGTACTTACGACCCTGCCCACAGCCCTGCCACTCATTTTTCCTTCTGGCCTGTGGGTGGTGGTTGAGGCCATGGGATGAGACGGCTCACTGTGGGAAGGGATGTACAGTGAGAGAGCATGGAGGGAGGGAACCCTAGAGACCCCGTTTATGGAGTAGGCAGAGGAAATGCAGGTAGTGATGCAAGCAGAGGAGAGAGGCAAAGGTGTGGGAGGCAGGGTGTGGAGTGCCAGGCAGCAGAGGAGACTCGCAGGAAAGGGGCCTCCATCTGTTAGGGGATTAGAAAGGAAGGCTATGAAGAGGGCTTCTGTGCCATGTCAGGGACAGCGGGTAGCCGACGGTGCCCACCTCACAGGGCTGTTGTGAAGATTATATGAGTTCACATGTGCAAAGCTCTCAGAGCCAGGCTCATTCAATGCCTGTTCACTGCTGTCAGAATCATTAATTTCATTATCCCAATTAGGTGTCCCTGGGAACCATTCCCTTGAGAGGCCTCCATAGGCAGGGGGAGGTGAAGCAGGGACCTGCAAGGTGAGATGGCCTGAGGGGGAAGGGCAGCTGACAGGGCCCAGAGGGCACCTGGGAAGGTGCTGGGAAGAGGAGGGGCCTGGAGCAGGCACCATGAGCTCACAGTCTTTGTTGGGGTCCATGATGCTTGAGTACTGTTTGGACCAGAAGGCATTCACAGCTTCTAGATGGAGAAAATCCCGTCTCGGAATTCACACCGGGCTATTTTGGAATCCGCACCCAGTCACATTGGCCCATAGCATCCTGCTCATAAATGAGATTTTGGGAGCCAGACATACCATAGAAAGCTCTGAGAACAAAAAGCCAAGAAGGCAAAGGTATTAAAGGCCGGATGAAGGGAGCTGGGTACCAGGTCTCAGAGCAATGGGCCGGTCATCGGTGATTCCTGTGTAACAATTAGCAGAGGACATCTAGCCAGCATGTGCCTGGCTGTGACATCATGTCCTTGAAAGAGAACCAATAGCACATCTTTGGCTTCTGCAGCCCATGTTGACCGCAGAACAGCCATGGAGCGTAGCTGCGTCTGGCCCATGCCTCAGGAGCCCCGGCCAACAGATGTTCCCTTAATGGAGAACATTAGGCCCTGGCACAGCCAGCTGCTGCTGCCATCTGACATTGCCGAGGTCACGGGGCCACTTCAGACAGAACGAGCAGGGTCGTGAGGGTCGAGGGCAGAGAGGGCTGCAGAGGTTGGGCGGGTGGCACGAGGGGAGAAGGGGGGCTCTCGTGTTGGCAGCAGGACAGGGGATGCATTCTCTTAACTACCTATTTACTAAGTGCCTGCCTTGTGCCAGGGACCATCTATGCACCACGGCCGGTGGTGGAGAAAAACACAAAGCTGTGAAATTGATGTTTGAGGGCAGAGTTGGGGGCAGAAAGGGGAGCTCTCCACACAGCATTAGCACCGGAAGCCCTAAAACTCGAGTTGTGATCTCCATCTGCCACAGGCTCACTGGTGACTCAGGCCAGTCACCGCCCCCCTCCACCATGATTCACATTTCCTACGTGTACAGGGAGGACTGAGTCTCTCTGTGAACGCCCAGCTTTGAGTGACCAGAGCTCAAATCTGAAACAGATTCACCCAGGACCTACTGGTGCCCAGAGGATGGCTGGGGTGGCTAAAGCTGCCTAAGGGGCATCTGTTAAGGTGCTTCTCCCCAGCCCAGGGCCTGGGAGATGCATCTCGGGATGCATCTGCCACAGCTCTCAAAGCCTTCCTGGTACCCCTTATGTCCCCAGCCTGGGCCCCCTCTAGAGTGGTGAAGACAATTCGCATAGTGCCAGGGTAGGTGGGAAACCTAGAATGAGCCTTCAGGACCCTGGGACCCGAATCCCAGTCTGGGTTTGGAAGACAATGTCCCTGGCCCAACTAAGAGCTCCAAGACCTCTATCCAGTCCTCTAGCCTGCACTGCTGCGGTCTCAAAAGACTCCCAGCTGCCTTTCTGGGGCTCCCCAGAATGCCCTGGTGCCCATTTATCTTGGTTACCACCTCCCAGCCCAGCACAGATGGGAGGGCCCAGCGGGCTCCCACCTTCACTTCTCCGTTGAATGAAAACTGCTCTGGCCTCAGGGGATTAGAGCTGAATCCTCCCAGGGCCCTGTTCCCTGGAGGTTGGGAGGATGGGAGTTGGACTCCTGAGACAGCATTGGGTTTTTCTAACTAAAAGCAGCAACTGATTTTCCTTCCACTCACACACAGTACGTCCAGCTTCCACAGACCCATATGTTCCACAACAAAATTTAGTTTTGTTGAGACTGGAAGATTTCAAGATGCCTTTTCTCCTTCTCCTCCCCCTGCTCCTTTTTTACCTTTTTTTTTTTTCCTTCCCACTTTCCTCTCCCTCTCTCTCTTAATTACTCATTTATTCAAGACACACTGAGTCAGACACTGCAGAGCAATACAAGAGTGAATAGAAAAGGCACAGTCTCTTCGTGCACAGAGTTCTTACTCCGATGGGTTAACACTTTGAGATTTTTATGCTCAATGCTTAGAGATGTCATCGGGTGGTGTATTCATTCCCTGCTGCTGCTGTAAGTTTGTAAGCAAACTTAGTGTCTTAAAATGGCAAAGCTTATCTTACCTTTCTGCAGGTCACAAGTCCGAAATGAGTCTCAACTAAAGGTGTCAGCAGGGTTGCATTTCATCTGGAGGTTCTAGGGGAGAATCCATTTTCTTGACTTGTCCAGATTTAAGAGGCCACCCATATTCCTGGGCTCATGGCCCCTTCCTCCCTCTTTGAAGCCAGCAGCTTTGCATCCTCAAATCTCTCCTCTTCTCTGATTCTCCTGCCTCCTCCTTTCACTTAAAGGGACCCACGTGCCGGGCGCGGTGGCTCAAGCCTGTAATCCCAGCACTTTGGGAGGCCGAGGCGGGTGGATCACGAGGTCAAGAGATCGAGACCATCCTGGTCAACATGGTGAAACCCCGTCTCTACTAAAGGTGCAAAAAATTAGCTGGGCATGGTGGCGCATGCCTGTAATCCCAGCTACTCCGGAGGCTGAGGCAGGAGAATTGCCTGAACCCAGGAGGCGGAGGTTGCGGTGAGCCGAGATCGCGCCATTGCACTCCAGCCTGGGTAACAAGAGCGAAACTCCGTCTCAAAAAAAAAAAAAAAAAAAAAAAAAAAGGACCCACGTGATGATGCTGGGTCCACCCAAATAATCCAGGATAAAATTCTCAGTTCAAGAACCTTAATTACCTCTACAAAGTTCTTTTTGCGATGTGAAGTAACACATTGATAGGTTTCAGGGATTAGGATGATGTGGGCATCTCCGGTCAGG